TTGTATGAAAATCCATATCTGTCGTGTTTTGCGGCCAGATAAATTACTATGTAAACTCATATCTGGCCTGTAATTAAAAAATTGAATGACCTTTTACTTCGAAACATGGCTACCAAGGAGGTAACTAACAAAAGGTTTTATTAAAATTTCGAACTGGCTTGCAAATAGAAAGCTGTTTATTGAAAAAAAAAAACAAACGAGCATTATGGCGCGTGAAAAATTATTATTGTTCGTTATTCGTCATTGAACTTAAAAAGTAAAATTGTGTTTTTGATTTCCGCGCATTGTTTGAGAAAAGTACTATACAAGCCTTGGCCACAACTAGACATTGATGGACTCACGTATGTGTGCTTCGGCTACGCCTCGGCCCACATTTGCACGTTTGTCCATCAATGCCTCAGTTGCTGGCCGCTGCAATAATGTACTATTAAACACATAATTTTAAATAGAAAAAATTGATAATGGCTCTAGCTAATATAGCTAATAGCTTAGTCTATATACACGAAAATAACATTTATATAAGTATTAGATGTATTAATTATTAATAAACTGAACTAACGACGTGTGCAAATGCTATATGAATTATAAATTGCGACTTTACGAATATTTTCGGCGACACCCGCAACTTGTGGCGTTACAATAAATATTTAAAACCTTATCGCCAAATCTGGTAATAGTAAACCACAGATTGCTCGTTACCCTGAAATAGCAACACACGAGGAGCACGGGGGGTACCATGAGTGTCACAGTGATTCTGCGAATCTTCCATCAGAGGGAGCGTCAGCTTCTTTGCCATTCAAAGTTGCATAAAATAAATAAGTGATAACGAAATAATAACAGAAAAATTGTTTCCCACAAAAAAAAATCTTTTTTATTATACCACTAAGAATAGCAAACAAGCTGACGGCCCACCTGATGGAAAGTGGTAACCGTCGCCTATAGACATGAGTAGTACTATGGACATAACAGAGTATACTGTTTCGCCCATGATACCCCCTATGCGTTGCCATTCCTGAGGACTCAGGTGTTATTCCTCTGTACCCTGTAAATTCACGCCATATCCCACACTTCAAACCGAAACACAACCATGCAAACACAACTGCTTTACGGTTGAAACACGAATGGGACTGAGGTACCCAAGCAAACTACTTTTGTACAAAGTCTCCCTCTGGAAAATTGTGACCAAATCAATTATTTTGATATAAAATCTAAACTACTAAACCGATTTTAATAAAATTTATAAGTATATCCTTTCAGATAAGAAAAATATGCAACCGAATTGAGAATTTGCTTCTTTTGGAAGTCGGTTCATAAGACTCGTAATGCCAAGCGAAGTGGTGTAAAGTTACAAAGCGATATTAATCCTTAAGAAAAGCATTTATATGGTTTATATTACATATTACACATGTGTCGAGTAGCATTATTAACACTTGAACTGATAAACTGCTTAGCGAAGACACGAAGAGGACCCGGTTCGGAAGTATTTGCCGCCCACGCCGGGTATAAATACCGGCAACATTGTTTTGTTTGCGCCAGTTCTCCCGCATTACGCCACAGTACTCCCTCCCTCCATTTGCTGTCGCGGTATGGTGATATACCGCCCATTAGAAGCCTCCAATTTTTATCTAAACTATGTTGTTTGTGCCACATAAAATGACAAATAATAAACACTCGTCTGACAAATGTACGACCTTGTAAACAATGTTATGTGATTTTATAATAAGTCCAATTAGATATATTTGTACACTAACTGTATCCCGCGATTTTACTCGTGTGAGTAAGTACATAAAGTATGAGCTCACTTGAGATATATAGGGAGAACCGCGAGGAGGTCGACCTGGTTGGGTATATTGCTAGCAATGGGATTCTCAGTCTCCATTACTAACAATCCCTTTCCACCCATAAATTTGACATTGATTTTAAACCCACTACCAGCCCAAATACGTTATAGGGGGGATTCCCCCTAGAAACTATCATGGTTAATTCCTGATGAATTCGTTATGATGGGCTAACTGGCCTGTTTTCATTCTCATCTATCACCCTTCACTGGTGCTCCGTCAGCGTATCCCGTTACGACGGGGTTACCATACCATTTTCACCCAACAAAAAAAAATACGTAATAGTAGCAGTGTAATGACCAATATTTCAGACTGTTCAAAGATCACCCTTGGCAACTGGACTTTAATTGAACTTAGCCACTTATTTATTATTGCTGATAATAACGTTTTGTATATACCAATTGACATACGGGTCAACACGATGACTCGTATCGTGGTACATACCTATACCACAGATAATAAATATAATCAACTACCATTATCCATTGTAAAATGTATGTACAGTTTATTTGCAATTTATAAGACATAACATAGTGTAATGTAACACAAAATATAGTGGCTATAAAGATCGACGTGAGGCAGTAATATTTTAAAAGTGTATAGGGCAAGACTATAAGATGATCATTAACCCAAAATGGAGTTTGTATTCCCCGGTGCATACTCCATTAGGCTTGGCGGCACCGTTCAATATTACATCGTCCTTCCTCTTCTTGTCCCGGGACAATGTCACTATCTTATTTTCTTACTTCCCATTTTGAGACATCGTGCAGAAACGCGTCTCGCGACAATTTGTAATCAGACTATTGGTGTACGAGTTGGGAATATTAAGCACAATAAGTATGGTCAAAAGATATTGAAATACGATGAAGGTGATACAGACATATTTTTTGATGGGTGAAAATGGTATGGTAACCCCGCCTGCGCTAACGGGATACGCTGGCAGAGCACCAGTGAAGGGTGATAGATGAGAATGAAAACAGGTCAGTTAGCCCATCATGATGAATTCATCAGGAATTAACCATGATATTTTCCAGAGAGAATCGCGAGGAGGTCGACCTGTTTGGGTATATTGCTAGCAATGGGATTATCAGTCTCCATTACTAACAATCCCTTTCCCCCCTCTATCGTCGTATTATACCTATATATTCAGGTATCAGATATATACTTTATCTTGTCATTTAAAGTTACCAAATTATTGTAACTGAAGATTCATCGATTATTTATTCTAAAGACTTATTTAAATTTGATGCCTTTTTATAACCATTCTAAGATGTGAATATTTAATATAATAATACAAGTAATAGGGAAAAAATATGTTTCTCTTTTATGTATTTTTTTTATATGTAATGCAAATAAATTATCTATCTATCTATCTAATTCTGGCAATATACACTAAATTGAATTTATGTCTTCCGTGATAATTTTAAATATCCTTGATTCTACGATATATACAGAGCTAACTATACAAATATCTAGTTTTATTTGTATTAATACATCACAGTAAGCGTTGTTTAAAATCAATTGTGCCCGACATACTCGCAATTTCCTTTGACAAGTAAACATTTACTAATATCGCTGTTACCTGCGTACCTGATACGAGGCGACTGTACACAACTAGTACGAAGGATGCTCACTACTGTTACTGTTCAAACTCTGAAACGTTATCAGCCGTATTACATAACAAAGGCTCAACATCGTAGAGGGAAGCCAAACTTTCCAGCGGCAAGCAAACGAGTCGTGACCCAAAAAACAACTCGAAAAACACAACCGTTAATTAAATACTCCGCAAGCCACAAACGCGAAAACTCGTGTTTACCAAGACAAAAAAGCATAAACAAAAACTGTTTAAACTTTGCGGTGCGAGCTAACAAGACGCGGGGCCTTTAGTGAGCCAGAACTCCATGTAGGTAGCGGTTAATAAAACGAACGAGTAATAAAGCGCTGGCAATTTTCATAGAGATGGCTGATTTGCATGCCAATGGGAGCTGTGCCTAAAACAACCGCCGCCAATATTAATGCCAAAAAAATACTTCAAACGAGCGCGCGCAGCCCTTTGAACTCCGCTCCAGTAGTCCTTGAGGCAACCGCGTTCACCCACTTCCCCGTAACAGCGTTGAGGGCTTTTCAAACCTATTGAAAATTAGGTACCGGGAAAAATAACACATTGTTATAAAACTCCAGCCACCCAGCTGCCAGCGTAATATAAGGATAATGATGGCCACCACTTCACTGCCCACCGTACTGTGCATGCCTATAAGAACAATGTTCTATATCTTTTATATGTAACATTATTACTATTAGATATATACAAAATTAAAATGTATGTATATTTTTTTTTGATCGGTGAAAGTGGTATGGTAACCCCGCCTGCGCTAACGGGATACGCTGGCGGAGCACCAGTGAAGGGTGATAGATGAGAATGAAAACAGGCCCGTTAGGCTATTATGATGAATTCCTTAGGAATTAACTATGATAGTTTCCAGGGGGAACCGCGAGGAGGTCGACCTGGTTGGGTATATTGCTATTAATGGGATTCTCAGTCTCCATTACTAACAATCCCTTTCCCCCCAATGTATGCATATTAAAGAAACAAAGATATACCCGTATTAAACTGTCTGTGAAAGAACTCGTATTTTAGATGTGTTTTTTTCATGTAACTTAGAATGGCAAACAAACTGTAATTTCATTACTATATCCACACTTCAAACTGAAACATAACCATACAAGTACAGCTGCTACACGGCCCCACAAAGTTCTACACCCTTCTACATTGCTCGCCAGTATTACCTATTGGTATATGCTGGCGGGGCACCAGTAAATGTTATAAGGTGAAGATGAAACCAGGTTGATTGATGACGAATTCAACAAGTATTATTTTCCCTTTACCCCTCAAAGTTCCGTACCAAGTGTGCCTTTGTTAATCGATCATGCACGGGTTTTTTAATCACCATCTAATTTTAGACATAGTACTTTTAAATAAATACCCATACTCGTAATGTTAGCAGTAATTTAAAAGAGTAACTGTTGAGTTCTCAACACATAACAATATTCCCAATCCGGCAGTAGATTTATAAAAAAATATATTTGAAAATGCTTTTAATCAAGTCTATTTGGATCAAGAAGATTTGAATTCGGAATTTGAATGTGATCGTTGTTTTGCAGGTGTCATGGATCCGTCACCGCGACCTGCACATCCTGACGGTGGGCGGGTACACGTACACGTCCGACCAGCGGTTCCAGGCGACGCACTCGCCGCAGACGGACGACTGGACGCTGCACATCAAGTGGGCGCAGCAGCGCGACGCCGGCGTCTACGAGTGCCAGGTCTCCACGCAGCCAGTGCGCTCCTTCTTCGTCACGCTGCATGTAGTAGGTCAGTCCGCTTACATCTTTATATATATATCTCTCGATGAGGATGTCACATACGTTAAATTTTATTTCAACTAATTGAAAAGATAACAAAGTTTTGGAATGAAAATTATTAATCGCTTTTTTTTTTGTATTACTATTGGTCACAGCTAACTGTCGTATAATCGGAACAATTATTCTTTTGTTTACATTTTCATTAAATTCTATTGAAACAGGGTATACCATAGTTATATTTTGTCTTGCAAATGCTTTACCAAAATTGCGATTCAATATCGCACATTATCATGGCTAATCTAAGTAATTCAATCGACGTAAGACTTGTGGAAGAACAGGAAATAATGTGGATATTGATTCAATGTAGCTATCTCTATACACACACAAAGGTGGACTTTGTATTCGTCTTTGCACATTTGTTGATATTACAAATGAAGAAATAAATTTGCATTTTTTATTTATTCTTTTCTAAAGATCAACAAAGGCTGTTTTATAATCCGTAGACAGATTATCCTCATCGCGTGCTTAATTCGTACTGTACTCTAGTACTTCAGTTACAACTTCAATGATCCAGAAAATACATATTGCGATCCTTTGATAGCGCTTCCCGTGTGTTAGTATTGTAACCTTCGGGCTAAAATTACTTCAAATGCCTAAATTCATCCATGTAAGGGATTGCCCTCAGGACTCTGCCTTACATATGATAAAGCTTTGATATACCAAATACATACTCGTAATCTAAAGCAGATCACTTCGAAAATAAACTATTGATTGGTTGTACAGGAACGTGTATCCATTTGGATATACATACAGCACTCTTGATAAAAGATTGAATAAAAAATACTAATATAAAGAAAAACAGTGTCTATTGAATGAACCAATCGCATCAATTAAACACGATTGCGTCCTGCGGTTTGCGAAACAGCACGTGCCGGACAGACGTCGCGATGGACAGACGGGCGCAAAGACAGTGTTTAGCGATAGCCCGCACCGACCACGTTGACGTAACAATATTTACCTTCCATTCCATCCCGCATTTCAGCGATGAGAGCGGCGCGGGGTGAACAATTCCGGCAAATGGCAACTCGAAAATGCGATGCGGAATCGGCACCGAACCATTGTCACGGAACATTTTAACATATTTATTGGAGCGGATGGGCGTGCTTTGAATTAATCGGGTGGCTCGCACACCCAAAACAGCAATTTGTTGTAAATCCAGAGATAAAAGCGGATGGCGTCCGCTCCGCTCCGCGCCCGCCGCCGCCGGCCGCCGCATCTCGCCCGCACTCGCCCGCAATCGAATTCATCACGGGCCCGATTGTGTTTGTCTAAATAAACGGACCGAACGCGTATACGGGCTTATTGTAACCGATAGCAAAATATTACCGTTCCGATGATACGATAACAATATCGTCGTCCAAACGGGCCCCAGGAAGCCGGCGCGTAATATCATTGGCGACCACTTGCTGAAAGAATACGAATGTTTCGGTAGTTCGCCAGCTCTCGGGTAATGCAATTCTCGTTGCGTCCGTTCAGCTGGAGGCGTACGGCTCAGTTGGACGGGCGCCAGCATTTTACAAATTGAGATCGTTTCATATCAATTCAACCCATTATAATTTATCGTCTGAATAACAAAATATTGTAATGGTAGCAATAAATTGCGAATACTAGTTACGTGCAGTATATTTTAAAGCAGCACGCGTGTATACAATAATGCGACAATTTGTTTGCGTCGTGTACCCCATCCCGCTTATAGCTCCCATTACATAAATTATTTCCTCACTAGATGGCGATGGCGTCTAATGTTGATAACTGTACTCTATATACTTAATACCTGTATATACACAAAACAGAATAACTATATACATATTACATATAGAACATCTAAAATATAACCTATACTTTTACAGAAACAAAATCAAACACGCCTCAAGCTTTAACCTTGTAATTTGTTTTACAAAAAAAAAAAACAGCATCTTCAATCATAATAAAATTTATTTCATACCACCCAACTCCGTATCGAACACAAAAAGAAATAGCGATTTAGAAATACCGAATATACTGCGCGACATAATAAAAAAAACATATCAACGAATTGAGTGCTATGCCCTTTTAGGAGTTGCTTAAAATATTACATTCATACAAATGTTATTTCTGCTCATACTATAGAAACGTACGCGGTATGCCCATAATTCTGGTTAATGCTCAAATTACATCCGATATATATAATAGACTTCCTAGAACATATTATTCCAAATTAATTCCTTTCACCATCAAAGAAAATCTCGAGCTATAAGAACCAATGAATATGTTAATCAAGAAACTAAGGAGTGGATTCCATTATTTACATAGTTCAACAATTCAAATTAGAAATTATCATTTCAAATAACATAAAGGCGGCGCTGTCTGGCGGCGTACCGGGCGCAATGGTTCTGTTATTGTTGGAATTACGACTGTCAACACAATTACAATGTACTCGTATCTGGCACTTGCAATTGGACAGTATGTTCCATAATTGTTTTTATCTCTAGCTGTTTATATTATTTGCTAGTAAACCAGAAGATATGTGGTGCTGGAGAAGGATGGAGAAAATTAGCTGGAGGGATCGAATTAGCAATGAGGAGGTCCTGCTTAGGGTTAAGGAAAAAAGACAAATTATTAGGACTATCGAGGGCAGAAGGGGAAAAATGTTACGACACTTGATACGACACGACAAACTTATGAACATTATAATAGAAGGTAAGATAGAAGGAAGGAGGGGGAGAGGGAGACCGAGACATAGTTACATCAGGCAGATCAAGGAACGAGTTGGTGTCGTGTCGTATCAAGAGGTGAAGAGACTCGCTGAAAATCGTAGTGAGTGGCAAGAGCTCCACCGACAAGAGCGCAGCTCTTAAATAGGATAAGCTAAGTAAACCAGAATAGTATTCATTTATCAATCTTATTGGCAATATAAGCCATATCAATAGATAGTCATTGAATCTATACATACCAGTAAATCTGTAGAGGTCGAATGTCTGTACATAGAAAGAAACGCTAAAAACCGAATCAGAAGGATGTCAAAAGAGAAATAGATTGTTTCAATTTTTTTGTTTCTATGTTTGTCTGCTTATCTCTGCAACTGTTGGACCGATTTAATTACAATTTTGCACAGTGATGCCTTACATCTCCGTTCACCATTTTAATAATTTTAAATACTTTTAATCACGGAAAATTAAAGAGTTCCCGTGGGATAGTTAAAAAACTACAGCAACTTATATAACTTAGTACACAATCTACTTAAGTAAAGTCATTTTAACTTAAGGCAAAGAGCGAGCACGACACGTCTTTTGTTAATTTTGGTCCAGTATTCCCAAACATAATAAATCAGTAGGTGCATACACCGATACATAACTAAACAAGATTAACAAATACCACGCAGACAACGTCGCGGGCAACAGCTAGTTAGAAATATCATTTTTCCATGAAAATATTCTTAATTTATGCTTATATTACGTTTTTAATAAATACTATAATAATTCTTACATAAAAGTTATAATTTTTACGAGAATTGTGAAAACTGATTCAGTCTTAATGGCGTAATCGTGAAACATACTGGTAAAAAATTCAAACGAATCGATAACCTCCTGCCTATCAAAAGATAGCCGTTTAAAAATATAATTAATAAGCCGTGCCATTCCAGAACAATTTTTATCAAAGGCCTTATCTATGAGATGACCTATACAATAACGAATTTTATTTGTTTATTTATTTAAACAAACTACAGCGCTTTATAAAAAAAAAAAAAAAACAAAAATATTTATAATAGGTTTTTTTTTATACAACTTAGAATGGCAAACAAGCTGACCACCCACCTGATGAAAAGTGGTAACCGTCGCCTATAGACATGAGCAGTACCATGGACATAACAGAGTATACTGTTGCACCCATGATACCTCCCATGCGTTGCCATTCCTGAGGACTCAGGTGTTATTCCTGTGTACCCAGTAAATTCACGCCATTACCCACCGTTCAAACCGAAACACAGCCATGCAAACACAGCTGCTTCACGATTGAAACACGAATGGGACAGAGGTACCCAAGCAATCGACTTTTGTACAAAGTCTTCCTCTGGTATAACAGTATCAATTCAAATCAAATTGTAAATATTCAAATCCTTAAATTCATTTGGAATTTTATTATACATATGAACGCACATAGTAAGGCAGTTTCTTTTATATTTGTCTGATCTTGGTATTTCTGTTAGTACAAGTCTATCAGGATCTCTTTTTAATCTGCAGTTTATATCCTTCCAACATAATACAAATGTTAACTATGTTAATAAATTACATATAACATTACATATGTTTTATGTATGTGAGGTATTTTTTAAGATTAGGGTATGATGAGGCTAACATATCCTTATAGGATAAAAGTTTCTAAATAAAAAAGATAAAAAAATTACATATAAGCAACTGAACCGAATTTTGATATTCAACTAGAATATAACCTATGTAAATAACAAATAAAATACTGCTATTAACGTAAGCGAGCAAAACTACAGGTTATAACTAGTTTTGGTGTAAATCCAAGCTTGTTTACCATTGAGTCAATTGTATGCATAGATAATAATATGGATAATATAATGGTGTTCGTGCAGATTGCGACGAGATCTACCAGCGAATGTTCGCCGACGACGACCCGCTGAACATTAGTGAGTTTTGTCGCGTGCCATCGTTTGTTTATGAAACTAACAGCTTTATAACATCCGTACCGTCGCCGGCGCCCCGGTTTACTGGTTGTTTTTATTGCTACAATTTCTCACTAACAGTTTTGCCGTGTGACAATTTGTGAAATGTTTTGGATGTGTTGTTTTGCTAACCTTATAAAGTAATGTATCAAAGCGTTTCAGCTGGCTTGTATTTGTAACTACTTCGAAACCGTGTTATGGAGTGAGAACTGTCTTATGTCTTATGTTATTGAAATGTAAAATTTAAGGTCATCAATTAGGTTCTTGTTCATTATTTTGCCTTATTGCCTTTTGGTAGATAAATAAGGATTAACTTCGCCCGTAAACTAATTATTCAACAGAATTGCTTTTAGTCTTGATGGAAAATATTTCTTTCCAAAGAATATTTCTGTTCATTTAGTAGTTAAGTAAATTGAAATTATTTGCTTTTATATAGCGACTATTATTTGAGCTTCTAAAAATATTTCTTCTTAATAATTCTTGAAGTGGATTGATATTAAGCCATTAAGTTTTTATGCAATGAGGTTAATAGTCAATTATACGGTCCGCCTGATGGTAAGCGGTCATTGTAGCAAACAATTGCTTGCAATACCAGAGACATCACTCAAACTTTACCGACCCTGTCAACATCAAGGTCTTCAGTTATGAAATATGACTATCACTGCCATATTATGCAGTAACATAAATGTGCATGTTTAAATGTGTGTAATTAAAGTTTATTTTTTAACAGTTTTATCTAGTTCGCTTATTCTACATTATGCGATATCGATTGAATATTCTTCAGAACTCTTTCTTCACATACTTAGATAAATTAAAATAATTAGCATTCTTTCAAGTAAGTGTTCAAATGCTCACTTAAATGTATTCTTCTTGTTCGAAAAACAAATTGTTTTAACACTAATTTACTCACAGAAAGAATAAATAGAACAAATTATTACCGGCCAGTACTTGAAATTTTATTAGTGGCCAGTACGAGAACATAATATACTACATCTCTGTTCCTCCGATAAAGAAAAAAGTAATAAACTACATAGATACATTATAAATGACCACTATCCAGTAACGATCATAACGATCATAACTAAAATTAATTATATAATACTGAAATCAAAATCATTAATATAATCATAAATATAATATTCTTTTAAAAGAATTGTTCTACCAGTGAATCTGAACATTTTCCCCCAACGAAATATAGGCGGAAAATGACAAAAAAAAATTAAGCCTCTCGTATTAATTTGACAGTTGGACGTGCCATACGGGGGGAGAGCGTAATATGGGGGGCTTAATTTTTTTTACCGTTTTTCAATCCAAGTTTCTTTGGGGATAATGTTTAATTTTACTTGTAAAACACAATGGTATTAGATTACCAATACCATTGTGCTTTATTAAGAATTGTTTTATTTTTTTATTATTTGTGATATATGTATGTATATCAATAATTACTAGTACCGCATTCGAGTATTCTGACACTTCCCTATGGTTGACTGGGAGAGAATGCTTTTAGCATTAAGTGCACCAAGTACACATATTTGTACTAATGAATAAATAAATAAATAAAATATTAATCCACCTGTTAAATTTCACTTCAACTTTGACTACTTTTATTTACTTAAAGTTAATATTTGTATTGTCAGAGCGCACCTGATGATTACAATAACCGTTGGTACGTTCATTGGTAATAAAATGTAAAGTATACACACCATAACTGGCGATTGTTCACAACGGTTTGTTACATGGGAGCGGCGCGCCCGGGTGCCCCGCACTCGAGCGGTACGAGCGAAAACATTCGCTTTTATAAAATGAGTCGTGTTAATTGAATCCCATCCATTCTGATATGAAAGCCGTCACTGGCAGCCCTGCCGGCAGGGGGCGCAGGGCACGGGCGGGTCACCTACGGAATTCGTTTTGTAACGTTGCTAATATTTCACATACGAGTACACTGGTTGTTGGTAATAACGAAGTAGGAGATAACAATTCATAAATAATTAATATAATTAAGAATAAATCGTAATTGCCTAGTTTTCGATATAGAATATCAAACAAATCAATTTAGAAAAATATGATAATTCGCCCTTTTTTATACAACTAAGATGGCAAACAAGCATACGGCCCACCGAATGGAAAGCGGTTACCGTAGCCTATGAACGCCTGCAATACCAGAGGTATTACGCGCGCTTTGCCGACCCTGAAGAAACCTCTTTACCCTTTTTTTGAAGAACTCCATGCTGTAGTCTCCTGGAAAAACCTCAACAGGGAATTCATTTTATGACCTGAGCGTTGGTAGGAGGAAACTTTTACGAAACCGCGCTGTATGCAACCGTCTAAGCTCTAAGATATGGGGATATACTCCCTGTCGATTGCGAGCTGTTCAACGGTAGAAAATAGGCTTGGGCATCATATTACACGATTCCTTTGAGCACAGTCCATTGTACAAACGGTAGAACACCCAGAGTGAGGCAAAATCTCTCCTAAGACTTAACTTCGACACTGCTTATAAGCCTGGGATCATGGACAATTCTCATAGCTGGTCTTTGTCGAAGGGTTCAAACTAAAGTGAGTCGAAACGAGAGTCAACTTACGATTTTGTACATATTTTCATCTCATAATTACACTGGTATGAATTTTTTTAAAAATACATAAATATTACTAATACTCATCGTTGGATCTATTTCTAATGTATATCTCTTATCTTTATTCCCGTGTTTATCTTATATATTTATCACTATATTATGTATTATACTTATATATTTATACATATATATATATATATATATATATATATATATATATATATATATATATATATATGTATAATTATATATATATATATATATATATAATATATATATATATATGTATAATTATATATATATATATATAATATATATATATATATATGTATAATTATATATATATATATATATATATATATATATATATCATATTATATTTATATCTAGGACTGGTGAACTCTCTGATCTGGAGTTTGTGAGTGAGTTCGTCTACCTGGGATCTCTCCTGACCAACGAAGGAGGAAGCGAGCGAGAAATTAGAAGAAGGACTCAAATAGCAAAGACCGCAATGAACAAATTAACTTGCATTTGGCAGAACAGAAAAATCTCAAATGCCACCAAAATAAGATAGATAGATAGATAGATAGATAGATAGATCGTTTATTTGTTTGTTACTAATCACACACAACATGTACATAAGAATAGACAATACATAAAACAACATAAGATTTATAATTGTGTTATTATGTGTGATCTGCAGCAATACAAAAAGGTCGAAGCTCAGCGTGTAACATTGTTCAAGGAACAAAACACTGATTTTCAGCTTTAACCCATTTGAGGGTACGTGAAAATAATAAATAAAATAAATACAAAATAAAAAGAGTAATATTTTTGGTGATTGTCTGTGCAGTGTGTGTATAATAAAAATAATGTAAATAGTTCAAGAGTATAATTTGATATAATTTTAACTGAGTGGTAAGGATAAAGCGAAAAAAAAAAGAAAATATTAATAAGAGAAACATGGAAAAAAAAAAAATATTAAAAATCATTACATGAGTTTGCAACCGCTAGCCAAGAAATTTCTGTGGAATGCCTAAAATTTGTTTTTTTAATAAGTATTCTTTGTGATGTTTTTTAAAACTTTGTACGGTAGTCAGATGCCTAAATGGTGGCGGGATGTTGTTCCAACATTTTGTTGCTTGGTAGCGGAAGCTGCCAGTAAATGCCACAGTTCTGTGTGCTTGAAATGATAATTTCGAACAAATGAATCTGTATCCATACATACGTGAAGAGAAATTTAGCTTTTCAAAGAGATAAACTGGCTGTTCACTTTTTATTACATCGAACAATAGACTAGCCAGATGTAACTGTCTTCGCGATTCCATATTCAAAATTGAAGCATTATTTAAATAGGGACTAATATGGCTTCGGGGGGGAATATTAAAGCAAAAACGACAACATGCATTTTGCACTCTCTGAGTCAGGCGTTGAGTTCTGGCCAATAGTCGTGGTCCATACACAATGTCTCCATAATTAAATTTGGATAAGATTAATGATTCGCATAGTGTAATACGAACTTTTTCCGATAATAAATTACGAATTTTATATAAGACCTTAAGGCGATAAAAACATTGTTGTACTACATTTAATATATGCCTTTCAAATCGCAGCCGACTGTCAAAAATAATCCCCAAGTTTCGCGCTTCTTCCACTCGTTCAATACTCTGATCCAGGATATTTACTGTAATATTTTTATTTATTATGTCAGTAATTTGTTTTGTTGATCCAAGAATCATATATTTTGTTTTGTTGGGATTAATAACCAATGCATTTTCTTGTGACCAGGCAGCAATTTTCTCCAAGTCCTTATTAAGTTTATGAGCAGCGTCAGTAATCGCAGCGGGGGCTCCAGAGATATAAATTTGTATATCATCAGCGTAACAATGAAAATTACAATAGTTTATTGCATTTTCAATGTCAGCACAATAAATAATAAAAAGAAGTGGCCCAAGTATCGAACCCTGAGGTACTCCACGGTCTACCAGCTTAGGCTCTGACACTGAGTAGGAACCATCCAGCTTTTGTATTTTTACCGATTGGTATCGGTTGCTAAGGTAACTATGAAACCATCCCACAGAGTGCCGATCCAAACCATAATATGTCAGCTTTGAAAGCAAAAGAGGTACATTTAAACAATCAAAAGCGCGAGAGTAGTCGAGTAAAGTTAAAATAGTACCATTACCAACATCTTGTGAAGCAAGAATATTATCTACAACATCCAGTAAAGCAGTGGTAGTGCTTTTACCTTTACGGAATCCTGACTGATACTTTGGCAGGATATTGTTTGTTTCAACGTATTTCAGCAACTGAGTATGAACGGCTTTCTCCAAGACTTTGGACAGAAAGGATAGAATACTTATTGGTCTGAGATCATTAAACTCGGCAGGATTATTAATTTTGGATAAAGGAGTAACCAATGCATGTTTCCATTGACTAGGAACTTTAGACGTAACAATAGATTTATTAATTATGTTGGTTATAATTGCTAGTGTACGAGGAAGAGTCAATAGTATCATGTCTCTACTCACCCGATCACTACCCAATGCATTAGATTTTATTGCCGAGATATACCTAGCAACATCACTCTCTGACACCGGCTGCAATCGAAAACCAGCTGTACCATACCTATGAAACTCATAGTAAGTGAGTTTTGATAAAGACACATTATTCGGTCCAGGTACATTTAAAAAATGTGCATTAATGTTGTCGGGGTTATTGAAAAAGGACGGTAGTATATCACTTTTAGGGGAGTCCACGGAAATATTTTCCTTTAACTTTTTCCAGAATATTTTACCATTACTTTGTTGAGAGTTTATATGATAATTATAGTAAGCTCGCTTTTCCCGATCGATACTACTGTGAACGAGATTTTTAAGGTCTTTATAATATTTATTGTGTACCTCCAATCCTGTCCTCCTATACATTAACAGTGCTTTATTACGCAAGTCAATCATACGTCTGATGGTATCGGTTACCCATGGTAGTGAATGTTTGCCATTAATTTTAATCCTTTTTTCAGGAGCATGTCCATCAAAAAGGAATAGCAACATCGAGTTAAAAGTGTCGACCATCAAGTCAACACAAGGCAGGCTATTTATGTATTCCCAATTTATAGAATTTAAATGTAGATTAAAATATTCCAGGTTAATATCCCTGATGGGTCGATGTATAAAATATTTAATTGGCATTTTACACTTTTTTATTGTGAGTTCGAAATTAATCATCGCATGCCCCAAGGAACCTCTAATAAAATTGTTCGAAATACTGCGGACCGGTGCATTAGTACACACTAGGTCAATAAGCGTTTCAGTGTCGGTTGACAAGTGTGTTGGCTCAGTGACTATTTGCGTGAGGCTAGTATAGTGTAGAAACTCTACTATTTTTTGTGCATTATTATTATGCAAATTCAGCATATTAACATTTAAATCTCCCATAAAAACCGTATAGTCATAATTAGAAAAATAAGTCACAGTTTCCGTTATAGCATCCAAAAAATTATCAATGTTCATCCATTGAGGACGATATGCCGTACCGATTAATATATTGTAGCAATTAATACGCGTAGACAACCACATCTGTTCGATACTAGCCGCTGGGTGTTTGAGTATGCGCACACGCACATTACGTTTCACGTAGAAGGCTAGTCCCCCCCGCGGCCGGCGCGCATGCTTACCGGTCGCGGTGAGCTATACAGTCTGTAGTCGGCGACGGCGGGCGCACATCCCTCCTCACCCGAGCGAAGCCATGTTTCATTTATTGCAATGAAGTCGGCGTTGAAACGATTCACTGCAACTATAAATTCGTCTCGTGCTGTATTGAGTGACCCGGCATTGTATAGACCTAACTTAATGAACTTATTTGAATTGAAGAATTGTATGATGTATAAAAATAAATACCACAAAGGAGTCAACACAAGGTAAGCATGCGTACTTAGTTCTGTCATTGTAAATGTTGCTAGTATAACGAACAATAGTAGGCGACGCCGACGTTACCATAGATAGAAGTGAAGTGATTTTAGTGCGTTGTATAGTGTAATCTATGGATATATAATATAACATAAATATTTTCAAGTACCCCTGGATTGCAGCAGATTCGCACAAGATCATATTAACATGGCAAACAAGATACAAATAAAATGAAATATGGTCATTCATCTTTTTAGAACAATACATGAATGATACAATAAATAGTAATACGTAATACAGATTTAAATAACAATTAATAAATAATTTATACACGCTGAATAGTTTATACATGAAATAAGTAGTTATATTGATTTTGTATTGTTTCAGATTATGTGAATATATGGATGATACAATAAAAAGTATATACATTATGATAAAAATTGAATAGATTTTACTCAGTATGCTATACAACACCGACAAAATGGAATAAATAATATAAAATTCATAACTAAAGTTTAAGTAAAATACTGTGGATATATAGATACCGATATTGACATATGAAGTGACCTTCAGTGGACTTATACTTACCTTATTCGTTTTGAATTTGAGTTGAGCCAACTGCGTCAGACCCAAAAACCCTAAGAAGGTCCCGATCAGTTCGAATGCGCAGAGGAAGAGCATCCGTACCGTGGTCTTGTCTTACAAATATTCTACCACTGCTGGTCCACACGAACCGCCAGTTGAAGCGCCCAGCAAGTTCCCGTGTCCGTCGAAACAGGAGACGATTGACCCTTGTCAACCTTTCGTTAACATAGAAACGCTGTGGTGGCCCGGGCAGACCGGTGTCTGATGTGGTGGCACCCCTCCGTACGCGAGCAGCTTTAAGCAGTTGATCACGAAGAACTCTGCGGCCAAGTCGAATAACAATGAGACGGGGACGAGAATGTTTAGACGATGATGACGACGACTCCTGCGGCGCCTGTACTGGACCAACCCGCATGACGCTGACCAGATCCTCGTCAACCAACTTGACACCCAACTTGCTTGCAATAGTCATGACAATGTGAGGCAGACTTTCACCCTTCTGTTCGATAATGCCCGAAATCTCGATGTCGTTTAATAAACACTCTTGGTCTCTATCATTGAGTTCTGTCTTTAATTGTTCTATAGACCCTAAAAGCTTTTCTGTGCTTCTGTCCTCACCTCTCTGAGTGCTTTGACGTTCGAGAGATTCGACACGAGCACTAAGATGATCTATACGCTTATCACACTGGTCCATTCTAGATGTAAGTTTATTAAGAGAATCATTAAGAATGCTCATTTGAGATCGCGTGGCTGCCATCTCCTCTCTGAACAAGCGAATTTCATGCAATAATGACTGTTCGCTTGAAATCTCTGACGGCCCATTATCCACCACACTATTCTGACCAACCGACGGTAAACTCTCCGGCGAGTCATGAGGCGCCTTGTCCGGACCAACAACAGCAGCCCCACGACGCCGAGTGACATTATCGAGACTAGTCCGTACTTTGATTTTCCCGATATTTTTGTATGGAGTCGAGTCATGGACAATAAGAGCAAAGGAGCGAAAAAAGATTGATGCTCTCGAGATGTGGTGCTGGCGAAGGATGCTGAAAATTCCCTGGACAGCAAAGCGCACAAATATATCTATCCTAACGTGACTCCGCATAAAAGATAGGCTCTCGACAGTCTGCTATCGGAGGATTCTTGGATACTTCGATCATATTGCTCGACGACAGTCCGACAATCTGGACAAACTAATGGTTGTAGGCAAGATAGAGGGAAAAAGACCACGCGGACGATCGCCTAATCGATGGTCGGACCAGATAACCGCCGTTACGGGACTGTCGATTGCAGCTGCCCTGCGAGAAGCTGAAGACCGTGTAAAATGGAATAACATCATAAGAGAGGCAACAGACACCTTTCAAGGACACGACCTTCAGTAATGAAGAGGACGAAGAGAGAGAGATTTATACATAACATCTCTTGTACGCATGTGTCCGTGAGTTACGTATTTAGGGCCTACTGAAAATCAGTGCCGTAGCTTCAGATTTGAAACTGCGACATATGCTGAGTTAGGTCCTTTGCACAAACACTGCTACATTCATTTTGTTTCTTATATGTTTTTCTTTTTATTCTAAATTCAAAGTAAAATAGTAATGTTATTATATAATTGTGTAGTCTTCATTATTATGTTGTTTTGTTATATGTAACATGTATAATTTATATTATATTTCTTAAAGAGCGATTGTATTTAATTAATGATATTATTTAAATGAAAAGTTTGTTTAGTGTATGTGTAAATAAATAAATAAAAAAAAATAGTAGGTCATGTCCTCGCACGCATTCCATTTACCGGTATTATTATCCCTTCAAGGACTAAATCCGTCTAAGTCTGTCTGATATATTGTTATTTTTAATAACCTGTCATTTGTTTCAAATAAAAACGTACAATAAAAAGCTTGTATAAATAATAAATAAATATTTTCCGTAAATACAAACCCAATTGCCCTAATGACATGTTTCAAGCAAACATCGGTGTCGCATCAAAATGACTTTAAATTTCATGAAAATAAAATATTAGTGAAAACGGTAGTTGTTCACGCGTACGTCCGTTTGTCGTCGAGTTGTTACAACAAAATTCACCCTTTCTAATTTAGATTGGATTTAGATTAACGACTGTTTGCTCCCGGTACAAGATCGCGCCAACTCGAGATAATGATCCTCCCCAGGCCCCTACTTCTAACTTTTAGTAGATACTCGGAGCTATAAATGGATTTTATGATATCAAGCCCTATTCAAATACTACGATAAAGGTTCTACGAAAGGAGCGCAGGCCGTATCGCACCAGTACTGTATACTCGGTGCTTCATATAAGTTAAACAAGATCATAGCGACGTAAAACGACGAAATACCTTCATCATCGATTACAACAAATCATATTAGATTTTATATTTGCAAGAAATACAGTTTATTGTTGTATCAGCCATTAACTGCCCATTGCTGAAAGTAGCACTTCCCATAAGAAGGAACCGTGCGTTTTTCAAGGCACTTTCTCCCACGCACAACCACTCTTTGGAATCAACTTCCAGCAGCAGTATTTCCGAACCGATACGACATCATAACCTTCAAAAAAAGAGCATATTCCTTTTTAAAAGGCCGGCAGCACACTTGCAACGCCGTAGGTGTTGTGGGTGACCATGGGCGGCGGTAGTCACCTACCATCAGGTGAGCCGCATGCTCGTTTGCCCCCTGTTGTAAAAAAAAGAAGGGTTTTGATTGTAGCTACCACCCTTGGCGGGCAGGTTGACAATCGCAGTTTGGCTTTTGGTGATATTTTAAAAGTGATGCTGCTGCCCATCCGTAAGTATAAATCGGTTGAGTAGCTTTTCAGTTTATCCATTAAAAATAAATCTTTTCCCTTTATAATATTAAGAGCTTACTTCAGAGGATCATTTCTATAGATTGTAGATTAATATCTCATCTTTATTTACTAACACCATTTCTGTTAGATAATTTACTGATAACTAGCTACCCGCCCCGGCTTCGCACAGGTGCACATTACATCACATCACATTAGAAACCTTAAAAATTATCAGTGTTTCTCTACTATATTATGCATGTATTATACATATAAACCTTCCTCTTGAATCACTCTATTTATTAAAAAAAAACGCTTCAGATCCGTTGCGTGGTTTTAAAGATTTAAGCATACATAGGGACGGACAGACAGCGACAGCGACTTTATTTTATACTATGTAGTGTCGTTTGCTTGGGTACCTCTGTCCCATTCGTGTGTCAACCGTAAAGCAGTTGTATTTGTATAGCTGTGTTTCGATTTGAAAGGTGGGATATGGCGCCAATTTACAGGGTACAGAGGAATAACAACTGAGCCCTCAGGAATGGCAACGCATGGGGGGGGGTATCATGGGCGAAACAGTATACTCTGTTATGTCCATGGTACTGCTCATGTCTGTAGGCGACGGTTACCACATTCCATCAGGTGGGCCGTCAGCTTGTTTGACATTCTAAGTTGTATATATTTTTTTTTTTATTAATTAAAATCAACGTAATCCGGGAGTGTGCTGCATGAATTGTAATATGAGGTTATCGCATTCAGTTGGACCGTCCTTGTACTTAATGACATTAAAATCTATTCAAAGTCGTTTAAGCGTAATTAAGTAAAGTTCACGAACTTTCATAATTATAATACCTATTACTGAGACGAACAATAGAAATACAATTCATTGTAACAACATTACATAGCCCCAGAGACTGCATGCGGCAGTAATCACGCGAAATATTTTGCAAACAATCCCACCTGGCAGCGGTAAACGTTATCGTTCTTTGATCCATCAGCTATTTTTCTCGTAATTTTTTTATAAAAAAAAAATATATTTTCGAATTTTGAAAAAATGAAGTTCTTGGATAAAAGTAAAATGAGCTTGGAGAACTGTGGGTGTCTATTTTCAAATTCAAATTAAAAAATTAAAAATCAAAATATCTTTATTTATGTAGGTCTATTCCAGACTCTTTTGATATATCAAATCTACCGTCAGTTCGGAATGACATCGAGATGAGAAGAACTGACAAGAAACTCAGTTCAAGTTCATATTTGTGAATCATACAGTGGTTTATAAGTAAAATAAAATAAAGCCAACGAAGATATAATATAAAAACAAAGGGTAACAGAACTTACAAGGCAAAGCGTAATGAAAATAGACAGAAGTGTGTGTAAGGTAAGTGAACGAAATCGTATCGATTTGGAGAAAAAATATTTTTTGATATTTGAGCAAGAATAAACAATAAAATCCGGCAACCCGTCTTTTATCCCACAGCTGGATTAATAACCTACGACTTACAGTTCCTAACAATTTATTAATATTAATGCCTACTATCCGTTCTACAAAGCCAACCAATGGACACAAGCCACTTCCCTCACCGGTGTATTGTATCCTGGACAAATACTCGCTCATACAACTATTATATCTATAAAGTACCTACATCCACTTACATGTTGTATCGTTCCATATTTTTATTTCCTTTAATATCATGTCGATAGACATATTACCATTGGCCGTGTGGTCCTGGAACAGAATAGGCCACCCTTTCCTTTCCCGTGAGTGTCGTAAGAGGCGACTAAAAGAAGGCGAAGGATGGGCAGCAGCGTCCCTCTTAAAACATCTCGACAGCCTAACTGCAGTTACCAATCTGCCAACACGTGGCAACTACTGGCAAAACCCTACAAGGAGAGGCTTATGTTCAGCAGTGGACAGTTAAAGACTGATATGATGAGATATATTACGCCTGAAATATAATAAATATATGAAAAATAAAGAAAAAAAAAATATTTTTTTTATATAATTGGAATTAAGAGAAGAGGATGATCATAATTGTCGACGCACGTAGACACTAATGTCCACAATTATAAATTATGCATTAAATTTAATTATATCAATTGAATTGTATGTACTCGCGTATTTACGAGTATTTTGAGATTGCTCCACTAATTTCAGCTTTTGTTCAAACACAAAATAGTACGAACCAGCACGATGGTCATTGACACTTGTTTCACCGGTAGACTTGATATATATGATGACTACATATACATGCATACACGCCCACACTCTCAGTAGTATAATATCTATCATTCATGTCCTATATCTTATCAGGCAGAGACAACCAAATACCAAAGCCCATTTACCTTTACCCTTACACATATCTCTCGCTTTTATTGCAAAAATTTCATAAAACATAACATGAAGTAGTAAAGACGTTTCCGAGTGAATTTTGAAATGCGAAGCGACGTTCAGCGTCTATTTAAAAACGAAAGGCTCCCGGCGGTGGAGGTGGCGAAGTGAGGCAGAAAAGGCGTTTCGGCGTCACTTCGCCACCTCATCGCCTCGGCAGGAATTCTCGCCTGCCGCCTGCCGCCTGCCGCCTGCCAACACCATCACTCGAATACTTGATAAATACTTAACAGAGATTTTTTAATTTATGTTAAATAGTGCAAATAACGTTGTGGAAAAGGAATTTGGAAACAATCGCGGTCACCACGCAAATCGGCAGGAATGCGGAAGAAAAACTCAGTGATTGTTCTCGTTCCTTGAAACAAGTGAGCGCGT